CCCGTAGCCCCGCCATCATGCGGTGGAGGAACCAGAGGTGGTTTAGTGGATACGCCCATTATGGGGGGAATCCCACATTACTTCGCGTCCCCCCGGGTGCGGAGTATGCATAAAGGATTCCCCTCTATAAAAAAGGGGGAGATGATCTTACCTTTGCTATCTCCAAACATCTTATGTGCATGTCCAAAGAACGGTAAAGCGCCTGGAAGGATTGGTGGCTCTTCATTACTCCTAGCTATACGTTTAGTCCACAAATATGAAACAATTGCTGTCATAAACAATATTAAAAATAACATTTTTCATTTAAAACTAAGTATTCTTTCGATATTAAATCCGAATTACGACTTGAGTGAACATCGATATTAATTTTCGATTCGCAAAAGCAATTATATGAATGATTATTGTTTACAATTCAGACAACCTTCATCGAAGTGATTAGAAATCGATTCGGTATTTATATACATTTATCATAATTAGACTGTCAGTAGGTTATATTGAAAACAAATCATTTTTGTTAACATATTAGTATCATAACGAAAAATTGATTTAAAAATTTGCGTCTGTCCGCTTGGGATAATTTTGACGGCGCTTCGACTGGAAGATGTTCGCAGGAATATTATAGTTAAGTTTTTTCTTTGTAAACGAAGTCACGGGCAATTGCTAGTCTTTTGTAATACTTTTTATAATAAAGCGTAAACACACACTTCTTTGTTGCCTAAGATGTCAGTAATTACAGCATATTTTTGAATAATTCTTTAATAAAAAGCCCAACACTTACGTCACGCTTTAAGCTATTGATAATATGACAAATGTAAACAATAAAATAAAATTTAATTCCATGCGGATGAAGCCGCACGGGAACAGTTAGTGATAACATAACGAATAACAGGTTTTAAAATTTGTGTCTGTTTGGTCTGTCCGCATGGGCTAATTTTGACGGCGCTTCGAGTGAAAGATGTTCGCTAGAAAATTAAAGTTCTTTCTTTGTAAACGAAATCACGGGCAACCGCTAGTCTTTTTTAATATCTATCTATTCCATTATCTATCATAATTATTAAATAAGTTTGAATGTATGTATTAATAACGGAAAAAACTCATAATACACGTGAAGATTTGTATTACAATGAAAAAACTATTTTTTACAATATACTTACATATGCTTATTTATAACTAGTTTTTGTTCGTGACTTCGTCAGCGTGAAATTAATGTTAATTCACCTTTTGATTAAAAATCTCACTTCAAATTAAAGTGACGTCAAAATCGGTTCAGTCGCTTGTAACATTACCCGGAACAAACGCGACCTGCGCACACACGGAAAATAATAAAAAAAAACAGATTTTTCCAGCAGCGCAAATACATATTATCTACGAAATATGTTTCTTTTATATTACATATATGCAATTTTATTTATAGTCCAGACATTTGTAATTTAAATTTAATATAATACCGACGGTAATTATAGAAGCGGGTAGAGAATCATACCGAGTTTGCGTTTTTATTACATACGGTAAGTGACGAGCTAACGTCGATTATGCTAAAACAAGCACACAAGTCTACTTATTAGACATATGTGACGTAAGAGGATTATTCTCCTTCCTGCACCGTCCCGTCGGATATATTCCCCTACCTAAATATGGAAACGGAAAAGGACTAAAATTAGACTACCACTCACAAACGCAGATTAGTTACTTAACGCCTGTCCCACCAAATTGTAAATTGTCTAATAACAATCCAACATGTAAAACATGTGTTGGAAATATCGGATTTGGTTCCCTTATCTGACGTGACGTCTTTATTAAGTTATCTGAGCCTCTATCAGCCAGTGATGGGACAGGCCCTTACTCTTTTGTGTGGCACTGAACCAGTCGTGCGCAACATAACTGCAGTTTCTACCACTGAAATTTTTCGTTACCGTTTAGGTTTCTAGTCTTGACACACTTAATGTAACAGTAAAAACTTAATTTTTGTTTGTAAAAAGGGAAATCTACCGATCCCTATTGTGTCATTTGGTCACATCACGAGAGAACGCCTGGACCTATTGTGTTAATCTTATTTTTGTGTGTACTGTATATATACTGTAGATTAGAGGAAGTTTGAGAGTAGCCCCAGTGGTAGAGAAAATAAGGAGTAAAAGGTTAGAGTGGTATGGGCATGTTATGAGAAGGGATGAATCGCATGTAACATGACGGACGTTAGTTATGAATGTGGAGGTACACCGGTAGAGGTAGACGTAGAAAGAGATGGATTGCGTGAAAGGTGACATGATCAAGAAGTGATGACTGAGATGACGTATGATAGAGTTATTTGGAGGACGAGAACCCTGTGCGGCGGACCCTACAGGAGTAGGATAAATCAGGGGAGATGATGATGACTGTCACAAAGTTCTTATGAAAAACAGAAAAAAAAGAATTGAATCATGATTACCTTTGACAAAGATGTAGAACACGATTTGTAAAGCTATTAAGTTTTTTTTTTAATCAGCGCTGATGAGACATAAAAGGGAATAAATAATATTACCAACCTCTTTTCAAGATATATTTCGATAAGTGATTGTACAAATATAATGTGACTCCAATATCTTGATACATTCTGTTTTTTTAACAGGGAACTACGAGTACATTACTTATGTTTGTCCTCTCGTTCATTCTCTTTGACAAGAACAGAGATATCAATATGTTTTACAAAGGGTATTTTTACGTGTATGTGATATCTTGTAGTTTTAATTACTGGATAAATTTAAACGAATATTATATCATTGGGTTCGTATTCTCCAAATAGTCGAAAGATTTATTTTAAAATTCAACAGATTCATATAATGTATAGAGGAAGCAGAGTTGACACTTCACTTGAGAAATTTTTCACATTAACGACTAATTCTATCTATTGTGTTTCTAAAAATTAGTTTGACAATTCATTTGGAATTTAGTAGGAATGGGTTTTGCAAAATCAGTCATGAATCTTATGTATTTTTATTCTTATAGAAGTTGGAAACGATAGATTCCTAGTTATAACTTATGAATTAAAAAAAATACACTGTTTTCTCAAATAAATGACCTGCAGAACCATTACAAATAATGAGAGTAAATAAATTTTATTATGAACACAGCCGTACGTATTCTCTACACGTAGCCGGATTCTCTGCACTGTCATCAAAATTAGTTAATAATAAAATAGTATTTTTAGTTGAGTTCGATAATTATTTAAACCGAATATCGATAGTTCAAAATTGTTCGCTGCGTGTTTGTCTCGTCACTACGATACCTGTCTATTAAGTACGGCATTCATACAAAATTAATTCGATACTTCATATGCGTCATTTATCAAACTAATCTATCTTATTTAAACTATAACATAGTACTTTTCAAAGAAGCTACCGGTGAAAATGTTATTCCCTATGTCTGGTCTATATTTCTTAAATGTCTTTGGAATTTAAAGATTTTATATTATGTTACTTCAGTTTTTGACGTTTCATCTCTTCTCTATTGATATGTAGTGACCGCATTCAGGTTTTAGCATAACGTCAATTTTCAATATCATCTTATTGTGGTCGGCTTGTACTCGGTAGTGACGTAATAGATGAGCCAGTGTTGTCTTCATTGATGAATAGGCATATGTTTTACCTGAAAAAATCTTACTAATATAAAAAATGCGAAAGTTTGAAGGATGTTTGTAACACTTTGTAGCCTAAACTGCTGAACGGCTCTTGATGAAATTTGGCATAAATGTAGAAGACAGTCTGGAAGATGACATAGCCTACTTACTCACTTTTTTAAATTCCACGCGAATAAAGTTGCGGTCGAAAGGTAATTAAAAAAACTTCGTATAAGCAAATAAGACTCGAAATTGAATATTGATTTTGTCTGTAAACACGAGTAATACTTCTCCCTACTGTTAATAAATGCCTTAGCCCTCCACCACCACACTCATTAGAGTGTACGGAATTGTTCCCACTTCGCCTGTCTCCTTTGTGGTCGTGGTATTGCATGGTCGTATTACATTCATGAAATATATACCGCAGGCTCTACTGATATCTAACGACGAAGAGTAAAGAAACTAAACACACCAATACAGATCCTTCTGCCTATATTAAATGCGGCAAACGCATTGGGGCAGTGCGGCAGAGTGGCCGCGTCCAGCCATCGCTCCGGCTTGAACTCCTCGGCGTCTGGCCCCCACAGCGCGTGTCTATGCACGCCGTACACAAACATGAAGCACGTCCGGCCACCAGTTAAAGTATAGTTCTCTGAAAGAATTAAATAAATCTGTCTATACTAATATAATAAATCGTAAACACACACTACTTCGTGACGTAGGATGTAGCAATCACTGCATATTTTAAAATAATTATCTCTTTAATAAAAAGCCTTACAGTTACGACACGCTTTAAGCTACATATTTTCACGCTATTAAACTTAGGGGATAAATTAATTGTAAAAAACCTTAATGTGGGAAAGGGACTATAAGCTACAAGGTGCCAACATTATGGAAGCAAGGTTATTATGGTAACGGTAATTTTAACATTTCCAGTTGAGAATTTGACAAATGTAAAAAATAAAATAATTCATAATTTCATGCGGATGAACCTGCACGGAAACAGCAAATATTATATAAAGAGGAAAGGTTTGTATTAATGTATGTATTGAAATAACTCAAGAAGATTCTAGACCGATTTCAAAATTTTAATCAACAGTAAAAAGCAACGATATCAATGAGTAACACAGATTATATTTTTTATTATATCTTAATCTCACGCGTGCGAAGTCGCGGACAGATAGTAACTAAAAATGTTATAAATTTTACGATAACATGCAATATAACTCACTCAGTTTGACATTCCTATCCAACCACCTGGCGGTCACTGGCACTATAGGGTATACGCGCATTGTTTCCTTTAGAACAGCCTCCAAATATACAAGCTGTGATAAATCTTGCTTCGTTACATCTCTGTCTTCGTTGCCGAATATATCATTTAGTCTAAAATTTATAAATAAAATCCACTATAACTTAAACAGACCTCTAAACAATTGACTACGTTTTTTAATTGTCTTATATCGCTTTAGAGCTGGCCCGCACTTTTGCAGCCAACTGTTTAGTTGCACAACTAACAATCGAGTAGTGCTCACCTTCATATAGCATAGGAATCAAAGCAAGTTTATGCAGTGCGATAGTTTAGTCAAAGGAAGTTAAAATGTCAATTAAAAATACTTCGAACAAACAAATACGATTCGAGGTTAGACATTGCCTTTGTCTGTAAATAATACTTCTTCCTACTCTTAATACGAAAGTTTATATGGATGTTTGATACCGCGTAATTCCAGAATTGATAAATAAAGAACTGTGGCCTTGGCCCTCAATTCTCGAAGCGAGGAATTAAAAAGAACACAAATGTAAGCCTATGTGTTCCTTTAGACAATCCTCTACATCTTTCAAATTACATCAATATCCGTTTAGCAGTTCAGGTTAACAACTCTAACAAACATCCTTTCATCTAAACTTTGGCATCTATGTATACTAGTCTAAACTATTATAATAAAGCGTAAACACACACTTCTTTGTAGCCTAAGATGTCAGCAATCACAGCATATTTTTAAATAACCTTTTCTTTTAATAAAAAGCCCTACACTTACGTCACGCTTTAGGCTATATATTTTCACACCCTTAAACTTAGGGGGTAAATATTTTGGATAAAAATCCTAATGTGGGAAAGAGACCATAAGTTGCTTGCATTAAGGAAGCAATTGTCATTAGTGCATTTGAATTTTGACATTGACAGACGTAAACAATAAAATAAAGTTATTATAATTTCATGCGGATAAAGTCGCACGGGAACAGCTAGTTTATAATATTAGTTAAGTTACTAAGTGGTAAGTAAATGAAACACTTACTCTTCAAATATTCGCTCCTGCACATTCGGATATGATCCTATCATAACTAATGTAAACATAAGAACATTAGCCGAGGTGTCGTGACCCCCCACTATCATAGTGTCGACTTGTTCTCTTATCTCTAAATCGTTAAATGCTCCTTTCTCTATCGATAATTCTAGTAAAAGATCCAAAAACGCCTTGAATTTTGTTCCTAAAAACGACATAAGCACCTTAACCAACATAAAAATATCCGAACGTAAGTTTTTTAATTGGTTTTATGAATTGACAACACCTTTCGTACTGTAAAACAGTTTAAGAAAAATAAGACAGAAAATGTAACTGGCCTAAGAGCAAAAGTAAAAGAAAAAAAAATTGTAGTGTTGCAAAGAAACTTAAATTTACCGCCGAGTTATAAGTGCTTCTTACAATATGACAGAAGTTAAATTTCTAATGGAATTTAGAGTTTAATGGCCGTGACGTGGCTTAGACACTGTTATTTTAAATATCGTTTCTGTATTCGGCCGTTAGTCAAGTTATAAGTTACTAGATAAATTAGAATTGTATAAGTTTTTGACAGACCCGTAGATGCTTCTAATCCGTTCCTCTTATTTTCCAAGTATGAAGCTTTACGTGTTTTTAGAACCTGCAACAAAAAAAAAGATTTTTCAACTTGGTATAGTACTTTTCAATTATCTTGGCGGCTCAGTCGCTGCGCTATACCTTCCCAAACCATCCCGCTACAGTTAAAATTGACTTCTAAGCAATAACTCATGCGTGTAACCGAACCGCTAAAATATCTAATTAGTACTGTAAATGTTAATCATTTAGTTTACCGTGTTTGACATGTTATGGAGTATTTCCAGACAACTTTCCTGTTTCTTCTTGAGTTTAGACCAGTTGTAAATAAAGTCACTGTGCAACCAAAACTTCTGGAACCTCTCCACCAGCACGTTGAACATCTGCTCCGCCGCGTGCTCATACTGACTGTTCAGTACGCTGTTCTCGCAGAAGTCAACCCCGAGAGCGGTCACTGTTCGAATAACATTCCTATTAGTTAAAATTATGTAACGCACCGAGTAACAGATGGCGCTGTTCTCTATCAGTGGAGATAACAAGTTTTTAATCTAGATGGCGCTGTTTTAAATTTGGATCTACAAATCACGGTATTAAGATTTTTTTTGGAAAATTATTAAAATTAATTGGGTTTTAAGTAATCGATTGGAAATGTATGACAGTTGAAATAGTAAAAATTTGCACTAAGGATCGCAACAAATAAATGTAATCTCTTTAGTACTATGTAGTAGTAGTGTCTCTATACAAAGTAACTTAATAAGTGAAGAACACATTTACTTACAGCAAATTGTCTCCAAAGCATTCCTACGTGTGTATGCCCAGTGATCGAAAGGTCCCTTCCCTGCCTCCGACTCCATATCTCTGACCAGGCGACGAGATTGACTATTAAAAACTCCCTGGAAACCGTCCAGTACTAGTTGACTGAACGCTGGGTTCAGCAACTTCCGATGATGCCTCCATATTGACACTACATATGTAGGGAATTAAAAAAAACATTTTTAATACACAAGATATAGAGGTACTAGCAGTTATCCGGGACTCCGTCGCATGATATATTAAAAAAACCTAATTAGTTGTCAATGTCTTAAAATTTCAGTGAAATCCACTGAACCGTGCCTAAAAATACGTGGTAAGGAACGTCCATCAATTTAAAATTTTGCATTTATAATGATATAAAGTTATCATTTACATACACGTTCCAGTGACTAAGCCTTCTCCGAGCCAGGGTTTAGCGAAATTATAGAAGTTGTCCTTTTGTAAACAGGCGTTGGCTACAGTCAAACAATCGTCAGGATCTGTTACAACTGGAAAAAAGAAATTCTTCATTATTTCGTCTTTGAAAGGAACAAAAAGAATTTTCAAATAACAAAACACTATCAATTAATTTCAGCTGTTACGTTCCATTGTTTAATTAAGAGCGTTTGCACAACTTAGACTAAACTATCGCTCAACTGTGTAGTCTCGCTTTGATTCCTAGGAGCTTATATGGAGGTGCGCACACTACTCGATTTTTAGTTGTGCAACTGAACAGTTGAATTGGCTGCGAAACAATCGACAAACGCACAATTGTTGTGCGTTTAGTCAAAGGTTTGGGCTCACTTTAAATTTAAAATACTCGTATAGTAAGATCCAAATTTAATGTAAGCTCGCAGACAGTTTAACCGAGCCGGTATAATGATTGTATCTTGTTATACTTTTTTTCTTTTCGATGGTAAATAAGTAATATTTTTACCATAAATCGTCCTGGGTCCAATCGTAGCAGATATCACCCCGCCAACTTTCAAACTGGTGTATGATAAATCTTTTACGGCATTCCATAAAACTAGAAATTATACAAACATAAAAATATTGTATTACTAGCTGTTGCCTGCGACTTCGTCAACGCAATATTAAGATAAAAAAAGTAGACTATATGTCAGCTACCCTTCAGTGAAACTCCGTTCGAAATTGGCCCAGTCGTTTCGGAGTTTACCCGAAACAGACGCGGCTTGCGGACAGACAGACAAACAAATTTTAAATGCAATTTCCGTTATCGGCAACGCATATACATCATGTTCCCGAAATCTGGAATTTTTCTTTTGATGTTACAGACACTCCAATTATATTATATGTATATGTTGATTGTTGTTTTTAAGTGCGGTACTGATTTAACTTTAAGAAGTTAATGAATATGTAAAATAAAAATTTATTACCGCTATTATTCTCAAGGTAGTTACTATATTTCATTTAACTCGCGTTGCATTTTTTATGGTTTTTGTTTTACGACTCGTTCACGGAAGTTGTTGAAGTTTGATTCCTGATAGATAGCCATCTAGTTTTGGTAGCATCTGATATGATAACATAATTCTACATCAGTCAAGGTCATCTTTAGACCTGGTAATCGCCGTGGCGACCGTCTTGCTCGATAGTAACTCTCAAAGCCATATTAGTGGGGATTTCCACTATGTATTTAATTTTTCCTTACCGTTATACCCTTCGTCATATTAAATTTCATGCTAAATTTCTCTCTTTTATTGTATTTAAGACTAGCTTTCGCACGCCACACCGTCCGCGTAAAATTAAAAATGCAAAAGTATCCAATGTATGCTTAGACTATGTCAAATTTCATCTAGATCCATACAGTAATTAAGACTAGAAACTCCAACATCCATCCAAACTTTCGCATTTATAATACTAGTAAGACTAAATACTTACAAATACTGTCTCCTATCAAAAGGTGTGCATGTCCAATCAACGGCACCCCGCCGGGGTGAGAGGGCGGTTCCAGTCGTGACGTCACCCGCGACCTCCACACCCAGTATAATGCGAACGCAATACAACCCAACACTAACACGATCATCACAACCTTAATGGAACAAACTAACTTAGTATTGTATTTAAAAAATTACTTTATACAGGGTGTTACAAAGTAGAACATACGAGTTTCAAACTGTAAATTAAACCAAGAAATGTTAATCCAATTTCAAAATCCTTTTCACTCTTCACGTCGCTGAAATAGAAGCACAAACTTTAAAAAAAATGTAACAACGTCGGGCAGAACTAAAATATAATTATTTTAAATTAAATGACAAATTTACTAATTTGCTGAAATAAAATAAATAAGCACTAGCAATAAAATGAATTTACCTTTCTTGTTATTCAAATATCAAAAACAAACACAATTACGCACCACTAAATATCGATTAATTTACTTGACTAGTAATCGAGTCTCTTTATTTACTCGGTTTACGAAAGAACATGTGCATATTTACGTTACAATATCCGGTAATTCACCTATATTTGTATTGTTGTGACATTCGTGAAATTCTTTGAAAATACCAATCACTAAGAAACGCTTTGACTCTTAAAGCAACTCACGTAAAGTGTAAATTGTTTAGATGGATAATTTCCCATAATTCCTGTAATAACTATATCTTTCTCTTACTATTTTAATAATGAAATAAGATCGAGGAATCCAAAATTTACCCTTCCTTGCTCTTAATGTCTCGATCCTTTTAACTGACTTCCAAAATTGAGGAGGTTTAAATTTGTATGTAACTATGTTTTTTTTTTATATTTCTGCATATCTCACCTTTTAGTTGTCCAATTTTCAATTATACTAATCTTACTCTTATAAATGCGAAAGTTTAGATGTATGGATGGATGTTTGTTAGAGTTTGTAGCCTAAACAGCTGAACGGATCTCTATGAAATTTGGTATAGACTTAGAGGATAGTCTGGATGGACACATAGGCTACTTACTTTTGCTTTTTTATATATCACGCGGACGGAGTCGCGGGCGCATTTTCCTTCACTATTTAAGAAATGACAGGATGGGGATCTACGCGTAATGCATAAGAAAATGATAATTAACCAATCCATTTTCTAAGGAAGGCAAAGAATTCGTAAACCAAATGCTCGCTTCAAAACATTCATAGAAAAATAACGTTGTCTCTTTCATTGTTACAAAGAAAATGAGACAGCAATACTTTTATTTCAAACTATATTCGTACGAAGTGAAATATTACAAAAGTCAACGGAAATTTACCAGGATTTCATAAACGTACGTTGGGAAAGTGGAATAACACGCATGTGAAATTTCACACGCGTCACTGTTGAATTCCTTTACTACTTGTAATGCATTTTTTGTCTCTATTTTCTCACAGAGAATAAAAAGGATAGCAATATACAAGTCATGCTATCCTTTTCTATTTGAAATATTTGTATGATGACGTTTTCCTACTCATATTCTTAAGTTCAGATAAAATTGTTAATAGAAATGCAACACAGATGGATGGATGATAGAATGTTTCAACGGCTGAAAGGATTTTGAATTCGGTACAGATGTAGAACATAGTCTAGAAGATGACGTAGATTTTAATTCCGAATAGATTTGCGTATAAATCTACAATAAAAATCAAAAGAAAATAATACAAAATCAGTTGTTTATTAAATCAAGACATTGTAATTTAGTACAAACAATTTAACCCGACATTAAATCTACAGCAGACGTCTTGGTTTATTTTGTCTTTTGACTCGTTCTGTAAAACAAAAACATGTATAGTTTTAAAAACAGTCTTAAAATAATTATCGAAAATCTTTAAGAAACTTCAACACATCGATCTATCTCCTCCGATCCTTCACTCAATTATGAAATGAAATGAAATGAAATGAAATGAAATGAAATGAAATGAAATGAAATGAAATGAAAATGTATTTATTGCCACAAAATAGAAATTATATAACAAAGACTTATTCTAAAGGTGACATATTCGTGGCAAAAGGTAGCCAGCTCAGCGTATGCAGGACGGACTAAGCCGTTCCTGCGCTGATTTTCAGCTGGCTCCTTCGCACTCAAGTAACATACATCTTAATCACTAGGGTAACCGGCCGTACTAATTACATATCTATACAGAAATAAAAAAAAAATAATAAAATAAAAAACACACTTTTAAATAAAAGAAAAAAAAATCACATTAACAAAAATGGGACATCATAAAGAAAAAAAAAAATTTTTTTAAATCTTAATAGAAACAAACAAAAACAATCATACTAAATTAAAAGACGAATGAACATACTGCATTTATAAACATCTTTACAAATTTTTAACAAAAAAAAAAAAACACAATGTGTTATGGGTTAATTTGGGACTCTAATAATATTTTTTTACATTTTTTAGCAAACACAAACATTATAAAGTTTTATGGGAAATTTCTCTTCAAAAATCATTAAATGGACTAAGTTTAAAGTAGACTAATAAAAGACGGTGCTGTAACTAATGTAGTTCGCATATCAGCTTATAAAGGGCGCCATTGTCAGTCACAAAATCAAATATCTTGCCAGAAAAACAGCGTTTCCACATAACTGTAACTGGCAATGTGTCACCCACTGGGATGTTTAGCCCCTTATACTTACTTAACTAAATATACTGCAATCCCAAAGCCGCAGCGTGTGCAACAATAGCCTCAGCCGCTTGCCGTGTTTCGAGATGTATTCGAGCTGCCTCCAGCCAAGTCTCCGCCGCGACAAGAGACGCGCCTTCCAGAGACGCCACGTAGCGGATAGCGGTTGCTAGGTTACCACGCTCTATCCAGAAACTAACAACAAACATCAGCTCAATATACATCGTCGTTGAGAGGTTCTAAACCTTGTCTTATAAGGATGAGATGGGGAATTACTTAGGGTAGGTTCCGAGCCCATTAGCGGAGACATATAGTGAGCTGGTGGTGATGTTGATGATGATAGGGGGGAATTGGATGTGACGGGGGAGCAATCATTTCCTGCCAGCAATTAAAGATTGAAAGCGGTCGTTTCGCTATTTCAGTGAATTCAGGTGGGAATTTGCCACTTTAGCACATAACTGAACAGCCTATACTTGCGAATTAGTTTAGTCACTATCTTACTTTGCGTCGAGCCGAATAAATATATTTTACAAAGATAGAAAAATCAGCAAGTACATATACCGAGCCCTTTGAAGTAAATCATACGTATCCATATCTTTAGGTGGAACTTTGGGCGGATCATCCACCTCCTTTTGTGGTATACTTGACACCTGAAACATGATATCAAATTAACACTTACTTCAACGGATTTTTTTTAGCAATAAAAAATACATGTTACCAACACAATAAACAAAATCTCACGTATTTTTCTCTAAGCAAATTCAGTAGATTTTTTTATTTAGTTATTCGTCAAACTGGACACTATTTATAAAAAGGTACCCCAATTACATGTTCAAAGTACACAACCAAATTAAAGAAAATACTGTAGACCAGAAAAGACAGTCTTCTGTCTTATATTCTTTCTAGCAGTCCCGTGCGGCTTCATCCACATGAAATTATGAAAACTTTATTTTATTGTTTACATTTGTCAAATATCAAATTCAAATGCATAAATGACAGCCTTGCTTCCTTGATGTTGGCAGCTGATGACTTATGGTCTCTTTCCCACATTAGGATTTATATCCAAAATATTTAACCCCTCTAGTTTAATGGCGTGAAAAAATATAGCTTAAAGCCTGACGTAAGTGTAGGGCTTTTTATAAAAAAAAAAGAATATACTAAAATATGCTGTAATTGCTGACATCTTAGGCAACAAAGAAATGTGTGTTTACGCTTTATTACAATAGCATAGAAGTATATAGATAAACAGACGACAGTACACAGTGCGCACAAGTTTTTTTTTAAATCACAACCGTTAAATCGATCAAGGGTTAAAGTGTTAATGCAGATATGAAGCTGGACAAAGTAATAATTACCTTGAAAAACAAAAACATCGATTGCAACCAGGAGATAAAGTAAATAGGCAGCGGAGAGCCTTCCATTTCTACTAAAGATACTTTTAACGCTGTCTTCTCCATCTGTAATTACATCTATACAATTTAAAAAAAACAGATTTACTATGTTATGGGTTGCTGAAAACAAAAATCAGAATTAAAAATTGTCTTGCAGAAAAGTTGTTTTGTTATGGCCAATCTCAAAAACATCTGCACCGATTTTAACGTGACTTTACTAAAGAATAGTTGACATAGACGAGTGTATTATAGGCTACTTTAATTGTAGATGGTTTGGTCCATTATTCGTTTTACTATACCTTGTAATAATTCGCTTTTAGTACACTGTCTGGTACTACGCCCTCTGCCCACACCGACCTCGGTATTGACTTCATGACGGTAGATACCAATTTATCTTCACCTCCTAAACAAATCTTACTTCTTACAAAAACTTGCTCGCATGTGGAATTTAAAAAACACTATGTAGACGATCCACTACTTGTATGCCAAATTTCATCAAGATCCGTTCAGCAGTTCAGGCTACAAACTGTAATATCCATCCGTCTAAACTTTCGCATTTATAATATTGGTAAGATGTCAAGTATGGATAGATGGACGTTTGTTAGTTTGTAGCCTAAACTGCTGAACGGATTTCGATGAAATTTGTCACAGATGTAGAGCATAGAACACTTACTAAGTCGCTAGCGAAAGTTAGTTATACAAAAACACCTACAAAATTAGGGAAATTTCAAACAGTTTTTGAATACCTGATGCTTTATGTATGGCTTTCAATTCTTTAGAAACGTTAACACACTTCTCCCCCTTGCGTGTGGCGGCCAACAGAGAGGACCCCGCCGCCCACAGCTCCTGGGATCTTTTTGTCTCTTTCTCTGCTTTTAAATGTGCTAGAGTATTTAAAAATAGGAAACATGTGAAGAAACATTCATCATCATCTCCGTATCCTACTCTCGTAGTAGCGCAACAGTTTTTGTCTCCCACAACTCTATGATACGTCATCTGTCACTCCCTTTTTTAGGAACATTTTAAAATAAATATGAGCTATAGTGACTTGTCTGTACAATAGATGGCGCAAATATCAAAAATGTCAAACTAAAAACTAAACGTTTTATTATGTTATTACGTATCGATATTTTTATAATATTAACATGAACAGAACTTTGGATTAATATTTTATTATACAAACCTGCAAGCTTGTCCTCCAAAATCTTCAATTTTGCTGCCATTTCGGTGCGTTGTTTAGCAAAGAGACGCTTCTCAGCTGCGACTTTGTCAGCAACCATTTGCTTGAGTTTAACCGTCGCCTTTACAATAATTATATATGGATTTAGCGAATGTTTAAATCGTATTATTTTCATTACATAGTAAATATTATTAATAATAAACAAATAGGTATATTTTAAGCCAAAAGTGATAAATAATGTACTAATATCATAAATTATTAAACTAATTGTTGCTCGCGTGTTCGTCTCTGCAGAAAAAAAATGTAATAAATATAGCCTATATCACTCAGTAATAACGTAGCTATTTATTCGTGAATTTTAAATTTCGATGAAATTTGGCATAGATGTAGAGGATAGTAAAGGAACACATAGGCTTCTCACTTTTGTTTTTTTTTAATTCAACAGAATGCAGTATACTACCTCTATCTCTCTTTGCTTTAATTTCTTCTCCAACATCTCTTCGTGTCGTTGCAATTGTTTTCTTAACGCGTCTCTTAACATATCGTCGTTCTTTTTCCTTAAATTTTCTTCCTAAAAATGGTAAATAAGAAAATTATTGTATTCCATTTTATGTACGGATACACCGTACATCCGGCTCGAAGGACCAAGATGTACGGTGTATCCGTACATACGAAATAAAACACCGTAATTACAAGAGAATGTTGTGGTTTATTCTTAAAACTACGGCGATGTATGGTGATGAGCACACGCGAGCGTTGTAATGGTATAAAATGCTTAGTCGGGAAAAACATGTATTGTGCGGTGTTTACACCGTAGAACTAATGTTATAAATGCGAAAGTAGAATTGGAAGGATGGATGTTTGTTAGTTTGTAGCTGAACTGCTGAACGAATCTCGATTAAATTTGGCATAGATGTAGAGTGTTAATCTGGAAGAATACATAGGCTACTTGTTTTTATTTTTTTAATTCCACGCAGACGAAGTTGTGGGCGAAAGCTAGTATGTAATAATATAGTTTCACTTCTGTATAATCTGCATTATATTTTGTTATGAAACAAAATGAATAAAAACAGACCCTTGTTTTAAAGTCCTTTTCCAATTCGAGACGTTTCAATTTAGTCAGATTCTCTAAAAACAACATTCTCTCTCGTTCGGTTTTTTCATCTTTCGAGCGCGTAGCTATAAAGAGTAACATTATTAGCAAATAGTCTCTTGAAGCGTTTTATGAATCAACCTAGTATAGTCATCGAGTCGGGCAAAGCAATCCGGCTCGAAGGACCATGATTAAATGTAAACTAGTACCATAGATAAATTCTTCTTTATTTAATGATAACACACACAAACTATTCACATAAATTGATAAAAAGGCATTTAATACAAATAAAATGTTGTTACATCGCTCACGTCACATTTTTCACTACATTCGAATTACGTTCCTTAATTACAAAAACATTTTCTATAGCTTTCTTGGCGGCCAGTATGATATTTATTACTTATTGCTTGACCAAATCATCTTCAATATAATAAAATTGGCATGTCTGTTTGTAATACCAAAAGAAAAATCCAGATTTCGGGAATATTTGTATTTACGTTACTGATAACGAAAATCGCATTTAAACATTTTTGTCTGACTGTCTGTCCGCACGCGTTTGTTCCGGGTAATCTCCAAAACTGGACTTTCACTGGGGTAACATAGACCCGCATATGCTAATTTATTTATCTTAATAGTGCATGGACAAAGTCGCGGGTAACAGCTAGTGTATTATAAATGAAATAAAAAAAAAAACAATTTATCTAAACTATCTAAAAAAAATACTAACTTTCCATAGCTCTATCAGCGCGTTCCCTCATACCGGCAACAACATCTTCGAGTTCCTCTTCTAAATCACGTTTCTGATTACAAAAAACAGTAAATTTTACGATAGAAATAATCTTAATTAAAAGATTCAAGCTTCAAAATAATTAGTAATAACAATAACAAAATAGAGATTCCCAAATATTCTTCATACTAATAGAAAAAAAATTAAAATCAACTTGTCTACATTTCATTATCTGTCCGTTGCTTCTTTGCTGCCAGTCGCTTCTAGTTTTTGTTTCTTTCCCGCATGATGTTTTTATAATCTATTTACATTCTATTAAATAGCGTTAAAATTCGGGCCTATATAAGTGTTTATTATGCAAAAAAATATTCAATATTTGATTGATGCAACATTAAAGTGTGTGGTTACATTTTATCATTTGCACGAATATAGTAAAGCGTAAACACATTTTTTTATATAACATAAGGTGGCAAACGAGCAAGCGGCCACCTGAATCCAAAATGGCGAAGCGAACGCTGCCCATAAACACCCGCAATTGCAGATGTGTTGCCTACCCTTATCCGACAAAGGAGGAGACGCACATAAAGAAGATATTTGCCCTTCCTATGCATCTCCTCCTCAGTCAAATCCACTTCCCCTTCCCATCCACTCCTTAAAAGAAAAGAGTGGTAAAGAGAAAGGGACTTGACTTAGGCCTCCGGCACCACACTCCCCAGACGAAACACGGAATTGCTTCCATTTGACGGCTGTCTTCTGTGTGGTCGTGGTATTACTAGGGCGTGCCGGCCCTGCAGTGCAAAGATGTTAAAGCGGGAACTACCACTGTTGTACCACTTATTATAAAATGTGAATTGAATTATTCTTTTTTTACTAAAAAGCTTACACTTACAAGACAATTTAGGCTATACATTTTCACGCTATTAAATTTTGGGAGTAAATAAATTGGGAAAAACCGACATGCGGGAAAGACAAAAACTTGCAAAGCCATGCCATGGTTACCTATAAGTAAGCCAATTGCAAGCGGTCTTTCATTTATGCTTTTAAGTTTTACCAAATGTTAACATTTTTTTTAGTTTCTTTTTATTTTTTCATGCGGATAAAGCCAAACAGACCGCTAGTATTAGTATAGGTTTAGATAAACTCACATATCGGTAAGTATGGTACAAAAGTAGGTCTGGATCCCCGTCTATTTTAAGCTTGCTGTGTGTATAATGCAGGCCGGGTATCAGAACTTCATTTTCCTCCGTATATTTGTCTATGTACGTCTCCACCTGGAAATGACAATTTTAACCTGATTTAATTAATTTCACTAATATTATAAATGCGAAAGTTTAGATGGATGTTTGTTAGAGTTTGAAGCCTAAACGGCTGAACGGATTTCGATGAAATTTGTCATAGATGTAGAGGATAACCTGGAAGAATAGGTTACTTACTTTTGTGTTTTAATACCACGCGAACGGAGTAGCGGGCGAAAGCTAGTTATTTATAATTACAATTATTGTTTTATTTTTTACTTAATTACTATGTCATGTTTATTTTTCATTTGTCATTTCTGATTGTGTTGTTAAGGATTAAGTGTTATTTTATTTATTTATTTATACAACGATTTCGAAATGGGGTTACTGTTTATGAGACTTGTGACTATTCAATAAAAAGGTTTTATTTTCCAGTATAGTACATTATTTCTTTCACTTGATTTATGAAAAACATCGAAATGCGTTCAGCAGTTTAGGCTATAAAATAACAAACATACATACAATTTGTCGCATATATAATATTAAGATTACTCACCATTTGCCACTGTCTATCGCGAACTAATGCCTTATCATTCTCCCATTGGTATTCTATTATAGTTGCTTTAATCTTCTCTTGACATTGGCCCATCATTTCCTTCGCCTTTTCTATAGCTTCAGGAAGAGCTTGAACACCGCAATCCAAATAACGGGTTAATTCCTCTAAAACGATTTATATTTCTATTAAAATAAACCGTTAATTCATTACGAGAATTTTATTGAAAAATGCACTTATTTTCTAAAATAATTAAGGTACCATTTCGGTCCTAAAACTACTAAGCACGTACAAGTATTCTTAAAATGTGACTAGTCTTTACTAATAGTATGAAGAGGAAAGATTTGTATTTTTGTATGCATTTTAATAACTCAAAAACTACTGGGCCGATTTATTTTCACCATTAGAAAGCCACGTGATCAATAAGTAATGTAGGCTAGATTTTTATTATTTGTTAATTTCACTCGGGTGAAGTCGCGAGCAACAACTAGTCGACACTAATGTTTTAAAGAGGAAATATTTGTATTTTTGTATGCATTGAAATAACTCGAAAACTACTGAGCCGATTTCAAAAATTCTTTCACCATTAAAAACCTACGTTATCAATGAGTAACATAGGTTATTTTTTTTATTCCAAGTGGACGAAGTCGCGAGAAACAGCTAGTTGAATACTAAGATACGAATTTAAAAATTCTAATAAAGTAAGTTACCCATCCCCTCTTGTGCTTCCAACGCATTTTGAATCGACACTCTGACTAAATCCACTCTTTCCTCCATTGTTTTGCGAAGTTCTTTTAATTTAGGCATCGTAAAATCGTTCATTGCATCATCAACAGCCTAAAATATAAAATCTTTATTAACCAATAATTATTTTAAAAGCACAACTAATTTAAATCTTATAATGTTAACTATTTAACTATTTTGATGTATTCTGTATTCTTGAAGGTTATTAGTCTGTGCTATAAATCAATACCATTTGTCATAATTTGAAATAACGATATAAGCTTTGTAATTGTGATCCAAAAGATTTTAAAATATTTATGTCATGGTTTTAAAATGTCGCAATTGTGCTTGTTATGTTAATAATCGGATAGTAGTCGGATGTCAAAAATAAGGGTGTTGCATTAGCTCGACGACACGACGGCCTTATTGGTAAGGTTATTCTGTGCAAATTGGAAGAAAACATAAGAGGTAATGAAGAATATATTTTATTAAAGCAAAACATGGCTGTGACGCCCATAATAACAATCAAAGAAAGATAAATATAGCGTCATATTTTAAAATGTCTTAGGGCCTGTCCCACTGCTGGCTGATAGAGGCTCAGATAGCTTAAAAATGACGTCACACATAAGGGAACTAAATCCGATATTTCCATCATACATTTTACAAGTTCGTTTGTTATCACACAATTACAATTTGGTGGGACAGGTCCCTAATCTTTCAGACCACAATAGGTGCAAGTAGAAATCACTATGAGTGTGCCTGAGGCCTAATTGTAGTTCTCTTCCCTGCTACTAAAAGATTTTGGGAGGGAATTTGTAGAGAGTGGTTACACCGCAATTTGCGTATTCGAGAGGCCGTTTGTTCTCAGTTATGTTAAGAAAATCAAGTACTATGCTGGAAGATTGGGGCAACACTAGATTATTGGCATATACGTCCCGTCCCTAACAGCTGTCAATGTCATACAGATTTATTAGGCGCGCCATTCTGGGGGAATCAGTGGCTCTGAGTTTAAGTTACAGTTACAAAAAAGTAATTTCAGTTATTACTACTGTAAAGGTGATTACATTATATTACCTGAGAATAATAAACACATGCTGCTTTAGCGGTATCGTAATTATTAATAACGGTCTCAAAAAGATCCGTCAAACAGGATTCAACTTCGCAGATATCTTTCGTCAGCACAGGCGGCGGGAGACGGACGCACGGGGGTTGTTCGATTACCTCTAAAAAACATATTTTAATATTTAGTCAAAACTAACTTAAAAAAAGATAGAATAAGTATTAAAGTAAAGTAAAGTAAAGTAGGCCATAAAAATGTACTTAACCCACCTTTAACCGGTTGTATTATTTCCTTAGGCTTTTCAGGGACGGCTGTAAAATTTGAAATATACGATCAATTATTAAGCTACTCCATATATCTTTATTTTTTTTAATATAAATAAATGAGCGCATGACCACGACTCCACCTAACCTTATTTTCTAAATAATATATTTTACAAGTTTTTTATAAAAATAAAATAAAAATATTATATAAAAAATAGAGCACCACCGGCTGCGGATCGGATTCCGACTCAAGCAACCAGTGGTCAGCGCTGCAGAGACAGGAACCTCCTCACTATACGTGCGGTTTCTAAAATAACCGCCTTTTGAATCGGGCCCTTAATCCAACTGTCTGTCTTATTAAGCTTATTATTAAACGAGAAAATTGTACATAGATTTACTATGTTTGACTCAAATATTAAAATTAACATCTTGAGTTATTAAATGACCAGCTGTCGCCCGCGACTCCGTTCGCGTGTAATTAAAAATGACAAAAGTAAGCACCCTATGTGTTCTTCCAGACTAACTTCTACCTTTATACCAAATTTCATCAAGATCCGTTTAGCGGTTTAGGTTACAAATTCTAACAAACATCCATCTACCCATCTAAACTTTTGTGTTAAGATTTAAAAAAATGTTAATCGCTTTTATAGATAATTTCTATACGAACCAGACAAATGTTAGAATGGGAGAATAACAAACAAAGATTCATTTTTGCAAACTTACGTGTAATTTCTTTTTTAGGCGTTGCATCTTCGATTTTACAGACATCAGGTTGTTTGTTTAAATTTATGTAATTCTTAAAATCTTCAATACATTCATTTATGTATTCTTTATATGTCATATTCTCTTGAAAAATCACAGCTATCATATCATCGAACCAGGGCGCGTATATTGTGAGCCAGTCTCGAGTCGCCGGTGACTGTCTGTAATAGGGTTGTAACGGAAGCCATTTTAACGGAAGCGGACACAGATGCGGGGGTGAAGGGCTTCACCTCTGAAGAAGCAGAGGACAATAATAAAATACAGATTGATACATAATTACAAGATACAGTTTATTATGCAAATATAATGTATAACAATTATAGTTAGTTAACATATCACGCCGCATAAGCGGTACCTAATCGCCCCACTCGCGTTAAAGACGTAATTTAACCTCGGTTATAACTCCGTATAAGAAATAACGAAAGCGGATGCAGTTATCATTTCTTGCGGAAATTCCGCACTTGCGGATGCGGAAGCGAAGTTCCGTTACAACCCTCGTTATTTAACAAAGCTTTTAGATTTCAATTTTAGTAAGAACACATACTTAGCGTAATACATGAATGCTCCCGTTAGTGTTGCGAGGAACACCGTGCCCCATACTAGTTTATCGTCCTTTTCTTTGGGTTTGGGAGGCGGGGGAGGCAACGGACAAGGCTCCCTGTCAGGATACTTCCTATATTGCTTCCAATTAGTCGCAGTATGAGATATTTTAACTAATCTGTAATCTATCTGTCTTGGATACTGAAAATATTTTCAACATCTATATTACGAAAATTTTATACCTAAAACTGTGATCAAATTTCATCACCAACTCGCCTTTATTAAAGGGTCGGCACAGTATGTGTTGCTTCCATACTTTTCTATCAGCCTTCGTATCAATCCACTCTCTTCTGTGATCCTATTTGGCGTAACATTTACCTTAACTAGTGGGTGGGTACAATCATCTTATCCTACTCCCGTAGCAAAAGATTTTTGTCCTCCACATAATTCTGTCACTCCCTTCTTGATCATGTCACCTTCCACGCAATTCTCTTTCTATGTCTACCTCTACCATGCTAACCTTTTATTCTTTACCTTCTTTACAGTGAATGGAGTGTTTTAATGTTATATTTCTTACCAAAACAGTTTTTGCTTTAAATATGTAACTCGCGATTCGTTGCATTTCGTCTCATTTGAGGTCAGTTCAAACTGATTTCACATTTCTTACAATTTCATATAAATATTAAGAGATTAATAATTTGCAATGACGTTTAATTTTGACAAGCTATAAAAGCTGCTAGAATTATTTAAATGTAACCTCTTTGGATTGAAATTGCTCACAAATTCGCCCGCGTGAAATTAAAAAAAAAACACAGTCTATGTTACACACAGATAAAATACATTTGTAACGGTGAAAGAATTTTTAAAATCCGCCCAGTAGTATTTGAGTTATTTCCATGCACGAAAGACAATGACATAAGAGGGCGCTCGTGAGCTGTCATAATCAAGACTTATTCCCAGTGTTAAAAAGGGATTACAATTTCTTTACAAAAGTTTCCATATATTTAATACTACCTTTCGCCCGTGACTCCGTCCGCGGGGAATTAAAAAAACAAAAGCGATTAGCCTATATATTCTTCCAGGCTATCCTCTACATCTATGTCAAATTTCATCGAGATCCGTTTAGTAGTTTAGGCTACAAACTCTAACAAACATCCATCCTTCCATGTAAACTTTTAAATCTTACTCATACTATTATAAATGTAAAAGTTTAGATGAATGGATGGATGTTTGTTAGTTTGTAGCCTAAACGGCTGAACGGATTTCGATTAAATTTGGCATAGATGTAGAACACGTAGACTACTTCGTTTTTTTAATTCTAAGCAGACGAAGTCGCGGGCGAAAGCTAGTTTAAATATTAGTAAGATTATTTATGAAGAGAAGAGCCCAAGGAAAGCTATAAGAAGGAAATGGATGGCTATATTGTTCTTACGACTATGGTAACACCGAAGTTAAAGGTTCAAAATAAAACACAGACTAAATAAAAATCATTGTCTAATTTATTTAAATTACATTTAAAATATTTACACAAATCGCTAATATTGCGGGGACTAAGTAATTTCACCATTTTCACGGATAAATATTGATTTTTACGTAAATGCGAGTTAAATCTTTTGAAATCTACATTTTTTATTTTATTTTTAAATTACCAAGCACTAACAAACTATGTTTTCAGTTAACCGCCTTAATTCATATTTCGTATAACAGCGTCGTGCTAAAACGTTGGTACCCCTGACAATAAAATTAACCAATCACGTGCGAGATGCAAAAACTCAAGCTAACTTCACTACGTTAGTGATTACCTATTTTTTATATTTATTGGATTGTTTTAGATAATAAAAGATGAGTAAAAACCATTAACCAATACATTTTTGTATCAAAAAACATAATTTTTAATGTTATTCGATATTCATTCTGATTTCCTTCGCTCCTCAACATGTAATTGAAATAAATCGTTTATAAGGACATCTATTTCAGTCATTACAACCGATATTATGCTGTTTTTACGCATTTTTATAGGAAATTTACAGATATACAGCCTTACAAATAAACGCGGTAAAGTTTAACTTAGAAATAAACTGAGTATACGCAAAATTTGTATTAATATTTGTTTATACTCAGTTTATTCCAAGTTTAAATTTATACCGCGTTTATTTGTAAGGCCATTAGACGATATACCTCTAAGTCGTTTTAACCGATACTGATTTTCTTTACGTCATATGTCTTAACAATAAAAAAAATTTAAATAAAATGAATTACGCGTGTTTTATTATTTAATTATTAGTGACGCAAAAAATTACAATAAACAACCATTTTCTCAATTTTTTTTATTTGTTTTTAATGTGTATAATTTAATGCATCAACAAATAATAAATTAACAAACATTGTATTTAAATAAATTGCAAAGAGAAGCGATGAGGTTTAAATTTTTAATATTGATTTTTCATCCACAATCGTAAATGAAATTAAAATTTATACCAAACCCAAATTCAATGCGAAAATTATATTTACCAAAAAAATTACATTTTATTCCATTTCAACTTGATTTTTACATAAATTAGATTCGATTTTACAAATCTGAATTTAATTTTAAAAAATAATAATTTAATTTTACAAACTCGAATCCTATTTTGTAAACCCGAAATTTTACAAAATATAATTTAATTTCACAAACACAATTGTAATTTCAAATACCGGAATTTAATTTCACAAAGTATAATTTAATTTTACAAACTCGAATCCTATTACATGAACCTGAAATTTTACAATACATATTTTTAATTTCACACTATAATAAAATTTTACAAATTACAATGAAATTTTCCAATTTATAATCAAATTTTACAGATTATAATGAAATTTTACAAATTTTAATTAAATTCTGTAAACTGATATTTCACATTGTATTTGGGTATAATATATATTTACGAGTACAGTAGTCCCGAGACGGACGCGTGGGCCATCAGAGCGTGCGCGGCCTGGCGTACTTCGAGGTGATGTCTCGCCGCGTCCGCCCAGTCACCCGCTGCGGCCCGCGGAGCGCCTTGCAGCAAGTTCACATAACGGAGAGCGGATTGCAAATCACCGTGATCCATATGATATCTAGTTTTACACAAATAACATTTTTTTTTTTAATTTTTATTAGGAAAAGGGGGTTTTTGTGTTAACAGGTAATTAATTAACAACGTAACTTCAACACTTAGGGTCTGTCCCACCACTGGCTGATAGAGGCTCAGATAACTTAAAAATGACGTCACTGTTAGATAAAGGACCAAAATCACAATTTACTTTAGACTGTTTACAATTTTTGATAATTTACACTTTGGTGGGACAGGCCCTTAGACTACTGCTGACCGCCGGAATAGCGCACTATACTAATATAATAAAGCGTAAACCCACTACTTAGTTAAGAAGGATGTCAGCAATCACATATTTTTGAATAATTCTTTCTTTAATAAAAATGCTTCAGGCATATTTTCACGCTATTAAACTTAGGGGGTGAATAAATTGGAAAAACTTCCACATGGTAAAGGGGCCATAAACTACAAGCTGACATCAAGGAAGCGAGATTGCCATAGTAACAGTATTTGTTATCCAATGTGAAGCCTTTGTTGTTATTTGTACAGTTAAATTTTAACATTTGCAATTGAGAATTTAACGAATGTAAACAATAAAATATATTTTTTACAATTTCATACGGAAGCTGCAACAGCTACTTTTATAAGACTGAGAAATTACTATTACTAGAAATTTAGTACTTTAGACAAAAATTGTTTATGATTAAAGAAAAAAATAATTACCTCGCCCTGTTTATAATATCAAATGTATCCAGCTTGGTGAAGTCGGTCGGTTTGTTGTTCAGCTCGTCTTCAGGAATATCCGCAAACTGGTAATAAAACAAGAATATTTCAATTATTCAGTACCGAAAAATACACAATCTTACTAATATTATAATTGCGAAAGTTTTGATGGATGTTTGTTAGAGTGTAGCCTAAACTGTTCCTCAGTTCCTCAGTTTCTCAGTAACTCAGTTCGTCAGTCTCTCAGTAACTCAATTCCTCAGTCTCTCAAAGTTTTGATGGATGTTTGTCAGAGTGTAGCCTAAACTGTTCCTCAGTTCCTCAGTTCCTCAGTCCCTCAGTTTCTCAGTAAATCAGTTTGTCAGTCTCTCAGTAACTCAGTTTCTCAGTCCCTCAAAGTTTTGATGGCTGTTTGTTAGAGTGTAGCCTAAACTGTTCCTCAGTTCCTAAGTTCCTCAGTTCCTCAGTCCCTCAGTTTCTCAGTAACTCAGTTTGTCAGTCTCTCAGTAACTCAGTTTCTCAGTCTCTCAAAGTTTTGATGGCTGTTTGTTAGAGTGTAGCCTCAACTGTTCCTCAGTTCCTAAGTTCCTCAGTTCCTCAGTCCCTCAGTCCCTCAGTGTCTCAGTAACTCAGTTTGCCAGTCTCTCAGTAACTCAATTCCTCAGTCTCTCAAAGTTTTGATGGCTGTTAGAGTGTAGCGTAAACTGTTCCTCAGTTCCTTAGTTCCTCAGTCCCTCAGTTTCTCAGTAACTCAGCTCGTCAGTCTTTCAGTAACTCAGTTCCTCAGTCTCTCAAAGTTTGGATGGATGTTTGTTAGAGTGTAGCCTAAACTGCTAAATGGATTTCGTTTATATTTGTCATAGATGTAGAGGATAGTCTGGAAGAGTACATAGGCTACTTACTAAGTTTTTTTTTATTCCGCGTGAAAGAATTCGAGGGCGAGCTAGTATAAATGTTGACAAACTAACAGAATGACGGTAAATTTCATAAATCTAGTTTATTTAATGTTTCAGTAATTTACACTAATTTCAAAAACTTCGTAAATTAATAGAATTTTAAAAGTTAAATTGCTCGAACAACACATAAGCTGTTTACATTTGTTTTTAATTCGACACGCACGGAGTCGCGTGCGAAAGCTAGTATGATATATTAGCGTTGTTATAAATTCTGAATTGCAACGCTTAATTAGAATGTTTATTAAGGTTTTTAAATTAGTCTATTTTTTTTCACTTGTATTTCTGTTTCGAGTATATTATGTACTAGCTTTCGCTCGCGATCCCATCCGCTTGGGATTAAAAAAACGAAAGTGAGTAGCCTATGTGTTCTTCCAGACTATCCTCTACATCTATGCCAAATTTCACCGAGATCCGTTCAGCCGTTTAGGCTACAAACTCTAACAAACATCCATCCATAAACATAAACTTCCGCATTTATAAACTTCCATAAACTTTCGCATTTATAATATTAGTAAATTGTAGCAGTGTTTCTGAACTGATTAAATGTTTTTTTTTTAAAGTCAGATTTTGTCTCGTTTTATTGTTGGTTCCGTATTATCTCCGGAACGAGTGGTCCGATTTTGATGAATCTTTGACTGAAATATATGAGAATGTTATAGACTATTTTATTAAATTCCTCGTTAAGTAAATAACAGTTATTTTGAAGTAAACACATACCTTCTGGAACAACAACTTGGATTGCAGCCAGGATAAGAAGTAGACCGGCAGAGAGGCGCCTTCGCGACCAATCAGAGCCACTTTAACTGCAGTTCTCTCCAACTAAAGGAATTTGTAAAAAAAGGTCAATTTATTTGAGAGCTTATCCCAAGTTAATTGGTTATTGATGTAATTAAATCGTATCATTATGTAATACTAGTTTTCACCCGCGTATCCGTCTGTGTGGAATTTAAAAAAATATGTGTTCTTCCAGACTGTTCTATATATATGACAAATTTCATTCAAGTTCGTTCAGCAGTTTAAGCTACAAACTCTAACAAACATCTAAACATTCGATAATTCCATAACAAACATCTTTTCACTTCGTAATATATACTTCTATACATCGATATCTGTTCTAATATAATAAAGAGGAAAGCTATGTGTTTTTGTATGTATTGAAATAACTCAAAAGTTACTCGATCGATTTAAAAAATTTTTTCACCGTTAGAAAGGTAATTTATCTATGAGTAATATAGGCTATGTTTCGTATTAAATTTTAATTTTAGGCGGAAGCAGTCGCAAGCAAAGGCTAGTATATTATAAAGAGGAAAGATTTGTATTATTGTATATATTGAAATACCTCAAAAACTACCGATTTTAAAAATTCACTATTAAAAAACAACGTTACCAGTGGCATAGGGTTTATCTTTTATTATTCTAATTTCACACAGACGAAGTCGCGAGCAACAGCTAGTAAAGGTATAAATAGTTGTATTATTATACCTTTTCGAATTTATCTTGCAAAGATTTTTCAGTAGCGATGCCTTTCTGACGAGCTTCTTGAGGAATCCCGCTCAGTACGGTTTGTACTAAACGGTCGTCTTTACCTGGAAATGTATGAAAACCTTGTAAATTTAACAAGAAAAGTAGATTAAACGACAGTAAAAAGTATAAAATAGTTATTTTTAATTATCTTTAGTTATGCAAGAATAAATTCTAGCTTGAACGCTCCAATGGGCATACTTTTTTTGTTGTTTCCTTATTAGTGGTCTATGTATAGAAAAACAAAGAAAAAAACATCTTTAAGTTATAAAATATACAGATCTTTTTCTCAAAATTTAGACATTTATAATCCATACTAATTATTTTCAGATTTTTCATTGTCTATTATTTCGGTATAGTGTTTTCTCTCTCATAGTACCAGACTTACTGGTAAGTGCGAAAGAGACATCGCTTTACAGAACTATAATTACCATTGTGGTTAACACCAGCTTTCTCTAGCGTTTATTACATTGTCTATTAAACGGTAGTGCGTTCTCTTTCACGATATCCGACTTACAGGTATGTGTGAAAGAGACAACGTTATACAAAACTAGAATTACTATTGCGATTGATACCAACTTACTCTAGCGTTTAGTTCATTATATAGAGTAGTATACCGTTGTCTCTTTCACACTACTAGACATACAAGGTATAGGTTTGTGCGAAAGGGACAACGCTCTACACAACTATAATTACTATTGTGGTTAACACCAATTTTCTCTAGCTTTTATTTCATTATCTATCGAAGGGTAGTGCGTTCTCTTTCACACTACCAAACTTACTGATAATTGCGAAAGGGACAACGCTCTACAAAACCACTATAGTTAGTAATTACCTGCTTTTTCTAGTGCTTTTATCTCATTGTCAATCTTAGCGTCGGGCGCGGCGCGGCGCGTGGCGGACAGCAGCGCCTCCGCCGCCGCCCACAGCGACTGCGACCGACGAGCCTCCTCCTCCGCCTTCGCTCGCTCTGGAAAATATTATAAAACACTATACTATATTTTTAGAAAATATTAGGATACCGAAGGAACAGTGGGAATAGCTTTATAAAATACTGCAAGGAATTGCTCAGTCCCTCAGTCTCTCAGTTCCTCAGTCTCACTGTCCCTCAGTCTCTCATTAACTCAGTTCCTCAGTTCCTCAGTCCCTCAGTTTCTCCGTAACTCATTTCCTCAGTCTCTCAGTAACTCAGTTCCTAAGTCTTTCAGTAACTCAGTTCCTCAGTCTCTCAGTAACTCAGTTCCTCAGTCCCTCAGTCTCTTAGTAGCTCAGTTCCTCAGTATCTCAGTAACTCAGTTCCTCAGTCTCTCAGTAACTCAGTTCCTCAGTCCCTCAGTCTCTCAGTTGCTGAGTTCCTCAGTCCCTCAGTCCCTCAGTCCCTCGATAGCTCAGTACATTCCTATTCGTTACCACGGAACGTTCGATATCGCTACGTAGTTGTCTTGGAGTTGAGTTTGTTCGTTTTAAACTAATTAACAAGTATTGTTCATATGGCCGTTCATATATTTTTTTTAAATAATGTTGTATCGAAATATCTAACTATACTAATATTATAAAGAGAAAAGATTTGTATTTTTGTATGTATTTATAAACTACTGGGCCGATTTTAAAAATTCTTTCACCATATAAAGGTTATTTATCTGTGAGTTACATAGGCTACGTTTTATTATTACTAATGTTAAGGAAATATTATTAAACAGCAAATTTCTGGACCTCGACGTATAAAATCATTATATTTTAACTTTTCTCGTATTATCTATAATATAATAAAGTGTAACCACACACTTCTTTGTTGCCTAAGATGTCAGCAATTACAGCATTTTTCGAACAACTATTTTTTTAATAAAAATTCCTACACTTACGTCACGCTTTAGGCTATATATTTTCATGACATTAAACTTAGGGGGTAAATATTTTGGGATAAAAACCCTAATGTGGAAAAGAGACCATAAGTTGCTAACATCAAGGAAGCAAGACTGTCAAGTTTTGTCATGTCATGTAAACAATAATATGATTTTTTTTATAATTTTATGCGTATAAAGTCGCATGGGAACAGCTAGTATAAAAATATTACTTTTAAGTGTTTGTTCTATAGCCATTAATTTCCCCGCCATCGCGGCCATATCCTTCTTGAACACGACGCGTTCTTTCTCAACTTCCTCCGACACTGCTTTGTTGAATTTTGATAAAACCTGCAAAAGAAAAATATTATTAATTTTACTAATATTATAAATACCAATATTTGAATGAAGGTAGTTTGTAGCATAAACTGCTAAACAATAGAAAATATCACAAATATAAACAAATTGCTGTTCACGACTTCGTCCGCGTGAAATAAAAAGATAAAAAAACTTATCCTATGTTACTGGCTGATAACGTAGATTTTTAGTAGTGGAAGAATTTTAAAATTTCCCCAGTAGTTTTTGTGTGAATTAAATACATACAAAAATCCAAAATGTTCTCGTGCGGCTTCATCCGTATGAAATTATGAAAATTTTATTTTATTGTTTACATTTGTTAAACTATCAATAGCAAATGTCAAACTGACACGACATGACAAACCTTAGCAATCTTTCTTTCTTGATGTTGGCAGCAACTTATAGTCTCTTTCCCACATTAGGGTTTTATCCCAAAATATTTACCCCCTAAGTTTAACGGCGTGAAAACATATAACCTAAAGCGTGACGTAAGTGTAGGGCTTTTTATTAAAAAAAGAATTATACAAAAATATGCTGTAATTGCTGACATCTTAGGCAACAAAGAATTGTGTGTTTACGCTTTATTATAATAGCATAGAAGTATAGATAAAAGTTGTTATAATGTGGATAAAGCCGGGAACAGCTAGTTATGATAGATTTTCAATATAAAACTAACCTCTTTATCTTTAGCTTTCAGTTTGTCTTGAAGCACTTCTTGTTGAATCTCAAACTGCTTTTTCAACTGGTCCTTCATTTTTCTATTTGCTTCTGCTTGAATCGCAAGACTCTGTAAAAAGGAATCCACATTTTATATCAGCAGCCGCTACATTTCGCCGAAATGGCGAAGCTACACTACCCAAATATCTGATAATGCAGAATAAGCATTGACATATATTGAAAAAAACAATACTATATAAACTAATTTAGTTGAGTATACAAGAGTTTCAATCATACTAATATTATAAACGCGAAAGTTTGGATGGATGGATGTTTGTTAGAGCTTGTAGCCTAAACTGCTGAGCGGATTTTGATGAAATTTGGTATAGATGTAGAGGATAGTTTGGAAGAACACATAGGCTACTCACTTTTGTTTTTTTTTAATTCCACGGGGACGGAGTCGCGAAAGCTAATATTAAATAAAAATAATAATGAGTGATATCCTAATTAAATTAAGAAATGTAATATTTACATGAGACATAAAATTCTACAATAAAAAATTTAAAAATATAGCCTATGTTACTCAGTGGTAACATAGCTTTTCATTGGTGAAAGAATTCTTGCTATTGTCCCAGTAGTTTTTGAGTTCCTTCAATACATACAAAAATACAAATGGATAATTTTGTATTTTTGTATGTATTGAAGTGTATTGAAGTGCTGCTGTTGAATTAATTTTACAATATTCGTATAAATACCTTTTTCTGGAACTCAAGTTCCTTGTTAAGTGATTCCCGTTTGATTATTTCTTCTACTTTAGCGTCAATTATCGCTTTCTCATCATGACCTGGAAATAACATATTTTTATCTCTTTCTATGTATCTTATCTTACTAATATCATAAATGCAAAAGTTTAGATGAATGGATGGATGTTTGTTAGAGTTTGTAGCCTAAACGGCTTAAGGGATCTCGATGAAATTTGTCATAGATGTTGAGGAAAGTCTGGAAGAACACATAGACTACTTGCTTTTTTTTTATTCCCCGCGGACGGAATCGCGGGCGAAAGCTATTGGAGGATAAGAAACAGACAATTTATAAAGAACAATCTTCTATACAAATATAATAAAGCGTAAACACACTACTTAGTTATGTAGGATGTCGATCACAGTATATTTTTGAGTAATTCTTTTTTTTTAATAAAAAGCCCTACAATTAACACGCTTTAGGCTATATTTTCATGGTATTAAACTTAGGGGGTTAACAGATTGTAAAAAACAGAATGGTACAAAAACTAAAAACTGCCATCAAGGAAGCAAAGTTGCCATGGTTACTCAAATAATTCTTAACCAAAGTCAAAGACCTTCGTTGTCATTAAAGAATTTTGACATTTGCAATTGGAAGTTTTATTAAATATAAACAACTAGCTTTCGCCCGCGACTTCGTCTGCGCGGAATGTAAAAAAAACAAAAGCCTTTGTGTTCTTCCAGACTATCCTCTACATCTACACCAAATTTCATCGGAATCCGTTAAGCCGTTTAGGCTACAAACTCTAGCAAACATCCGTCTATACTTTCGCATTATTTTCATATTTATAATATTAGTAAGATATTAGTATGATAGATGACAAAATACAGTTTTAAAATGTCATGCGTATGAAACCGCACGGGAACATCTAATAAGAAATAAAACTTAAAACTCACATTCGATAGCTCGATTGATTTTCAATTCCCTCACAGTTTGTAGTTCTGCGATTGCGTTTTGTAAATATTGCACCTGAAAAAAAAAAGTTATACATACGAAGAAATAGCAAGAATAGAGCGTGTTCACGTCAATTAGTCATTCACTCAGTCAATCATTGAATAATGTAGAATGAATTGTTCAGTGAACGGTTGGCTAAGTAATCGATCAAGCTATTGTGTTAGTTAGTCACTAAAAAACAGACAATCAATTAATCAGCTACTCAGCCATTCATTCAATCATTCAATCACTCAGTCAGTTCAGTACATACAAAGATTTTTTTTTATAACATAAGGTGGCAAACGAGCAAGCGGCCACCTATAACCGCCAAAATGGCGAAGCGACCGCTGCCCGTAGACATCCGCAATTGTAGATGCGTTGCCTACCCTTATACGACGGAGGAGGAGACGCACATAAAGATGTTATTTCCCCTTCCAATGCATCTCCTCCACTATCAAATCCACTTACTCTTCCCAACCTCTTTTTATAAGAAAAGGGTGGTAAAAGGAAAGGGACTTAAATTAGGCCTCCGGCACCACACTCATCAGACGAAACACGGAATGGCTTCCATTTGACGGCTGTCTTCTGTGTGGTCGTGGTATTACTGGGGGCGTGCCGGCCCTGCACTGCTAAGATGTTAAAGCGGGTACTACCACTGTTGAATAACATCAAGATTTACATCAGTTTCTAATTCTTCTTGCTCTAGCAATCTTTTAATCTAGCTTGATCTAAAACATCACTTATGCCCGGTTTCCCAGCGACACTCAACCATTCGTTAGTGTTTTTGAATAGATAATTTCTTGAAATGCGTTTCCGAACTACTAAACTAGTGTTTAACTTTGTTAGAACTTAAGTCAATTAGCATATAGCATTGAGTTAAATAAGTTTATCGAAATGGGTATGAAATAAACGTCCCTTACTATACCTTCTTCAATGTATACATAAGCAGCAGGTCTGTGTCTCCTCGCAGCTCCAACTTCCTGGTGCTGAGGTCCACTCCAGGAAACAGCATCTGCAGTTCCTCCTTGAACTCCGTACGAGCTGCCTCCACCTACATTATACAAAGTTATATTATAACTAGCTGTTGCCCGAGACTCCGTCCGCGTGGAATAAAAAAAAAACAAAAGTAAGTAGCCTATATGTTCTTCCAGACTATCCTCTACATCTATTCCAAATTTTATTCCATCCAGCCGTTTAGGCTACAAACTCTAACAAACATCCATCCATCTAAACTTTTGCATTTAAAATATTAAGTATGATTACATTTTTAACAAATCATGTCTATTGAAACTTGTTTTTACATATTTACTAGCTGTTGCTCGCGACTTCGCCTGCGTGGAATTAAAAATAGCCTATGTTACTCACTGATAACGAATCTTTAATGGTGAAAGAATAGAAATCGGCCCTGTAGTTTTTTGAATTATTTCAATACATACAAAAATACAAATCTTTCCTCTTTATAATATTAGTAAGGACTAGCTGCTACCCGCGACATCGTCCGCGTGGAATTTAAAAGTTCATAATTTAGGTTCGCGGACTTTTTTGTGGAACTTTTTGAGGTCTACAATTCCTTCAAACATCATTTTACATACCGCTACCGGTTTAGGCAGCATAAGCCGAAAATAGTTAAATATAGCTATCTATTAATGCAGAGGTCCAGATATACGCTATTTATTAATAGTTCCTTAACATTAATAAAAATAAAGTATAGCCTATGTTACTCACAGATAAATTACCTTTCTAATGGTGAAAGAACATTTATAATCGGCCCAATAGTTTTTACGTGAATCAAATACATACAAAAATCCAAAAAAACAAAATCCTCTTAATAATATTATCTATACTATTATAATAAAGCGTAAACACACACTTCTTTGTTGCCTAAGATGTCAGCAATTACACCATATTTTTGAATAATTCTTTTTTTAATAATAAAAAGCCCTACACTTACTTCACGCTTTAGACAATATATTTTCATTTTAAACTTAGGGGGTAAATATTTTGGATAAAAACCCTAATGTGGGAAAGAGACTATAAGTTGCTGCCAACATCAAGGAAGCAAGAATTGTAATGTCATGTCATTTTGACATTAGCGATTGATAATTTGACTAACGTAAACAATAAAATAAAATGTTCATAGTTTCATGCGGATGAAGTCGCACGGGAACAGCTA